TGATGATGATGAGGGTGATGATGATTGTGATGATGATGATCATGACGATGATGGTTATGATTATGATGGTGGTGATGATGATGGTGGTGATGATGTTGACGATGATGATGGTGATGATGACGATGCTGCTGATGATGATGATGGTGATGGTGATGATGATGATGTCGACGTTGATGGTGATGCTGATGATGATGCTGATGTTGATGATGATAAGGATGATAATGGTAAGGATGAGAATGGTGATGGTGATGATGATGATTGATGGTGATGATGATTATGATGATGATGGTGATGATGATTATGATGATTTCGATGATGGTGATGATGCTGGTAATGATGATGAAGGCGATTATGATGATGCAGACGAAACTGATGATGTTTATGATGATGTGGATGAAGATGAGGATGATGATGAGGATGAGGATACAGATGAGAATGAGGATAAGGATAATGATTGGTGAAGGTGGTGATGATGATGATGATGATGATGATGAAGATACTGATGACGATGATGATGATGGTGATGATGATGGTAATGATGATGCTGATTCTGGTGGTGATGAGAATGACGATGCTGATGACGATGAAGATGATGACGATGCTGATGATGGTGATGATGCTGCTGATGATGACGGTGATTCTGATGATGATGATGATGATTATGATGATGGTGGCGATGGTGTTGATGATGATGATAATGATGATGCTGATTGTGACGATGCTGATAGTGATGATGATGATAATGATGATGACGACGATAGTGATGAAGATATTGATGTTGATAGTTATGATGATGATGCTGATGATGATAATGCTGATGATGCTGGTGATGCTGCTGATGATGCTGTTGATGATGACGATGACGATGATGATGATGACGACGATGATGATGATGATGATGATACTAATGATGGTGATGCGTTTGCTGATTTGGATGATGGTGATGATGACGATGATGATGACGATAATGATGATGATGATGATGATGATGATGATGATGATGATGATAACGATGACATGACAATGATGACGATGATGCTGATTCTGATGATGATGCTGCTGATAATGGTGATGCTGATTACGATTACGACGATGATGGTGATGGTGATGATGATTCTGATGATGATGACGATGATGATGGTGATTTTTGTGATAATGATGATGATGGTGATGGTGATGGTGATGATGATTGTGATGACAATGATGATGATGATGATGATGATGATGATGGTTATGTTGACGATGGTGGTGGTGGTGATGATGACGAGATGACGATGATGATACTCATGGTGATGAGGATGCTGATGATGAAGATGATGATGATGGTGATGATGGTGGTGGTGATATTGATGATGATGATGATGGTGAGGATGATGATGATGATGATGATGCTGATGATGCTGATGATGATGATGGTGGTGGTAGTGATGATGATGATGATGATGACGATGACGATGTCGATGTCGATGATGATACTGATGATGATGATGATGATGGTGGTGGTGGTGGAGGTGGTCATATGATGATGGTGATGACGAATGATGATGCTGATGATGATGATGGTCATGATGCTTATGCTGATGATGATGATGACGATGATGATGACGATGACGATGACGATGACGATGATGATGATGATGATGATGATGATGATGATGATGATGATGATGATGATGATGATGATGATGATGATGATGATTGTGCTGGTGATGATGATGACGATGATCATGATGAGGAGGAGGATTAGGAGGATTAGGAGGAGGAGGATGATGACGACGACGACGCCCACGCCTACGCCCACGCCCACGCCCACGCCCACGCCCACGCCCACCGCCACGCCGCCGCCTCCGCCTACGACGACGACGACGACAGCGACGGCGACGTCGACGGCGCATGCGAACGTCGACGGCGACGACGGGTGCTGGAAGAGGACGTTCACCATGAGGGAAACGGGTCCTGAGATTTTTTGCCGTTGTCGGGCTCGGGGCCTTCCACGGACCTTGGGACTGTCAGAGACGATTCAGGATGAAGATCTCGTGCTGGGGGAAGGTGCCAGGGTCCAGGACCCGTTTATCTCAGGACACCGTCCCCCCATGCTACAGGGCATCTTTCGAAGAGCAAGCAACTGCATAAGGATGAGTTTTCGGAGCTCCGCGCGGATTTCTTGGACCGGCATTTGGCCGGTTTGGAGGCGCCTCTGGCGCCGCCCCTGGCGCCCTCCGAGCGCCAGGGAGGAGGTCCAGCGCAAATCGAAGATCCGCGCAGAACTCCAAAAGTTTCTTGATATGCCGTTGTTGTGGCAGCTCAGACACGGCCACGAGAGTGTGGGTCAAGAACGTACTTCCCCTTCTTGGTCTTCGTTACGGGGGGGGGCGTCCTGAGGCCCACCTGACAGACAGGTTCGTCTCTAGTGCGCTTCCAGTTCGGTTCTTGCCTGTCTCACGCGTCGCGTTCGACTCCAGTCCAGGGGCGTTCGGCGCGGCACCGACGCAGAACTCCAGGACGGTCCCCAGAGCGAACGTCTGACCCTGTCGCCGAAGGCGGCCCAGGGGCCCCCGTGGAGATGCCCGCGGCGAAGGGCACCATACCAAGAGCGAGGAGCCTCCGCGTGCCCCTCCGAAGGGGGAGGCCCGCTCTCCACCTCCCGGGGGCCCGTGGCGCGGCGGCCCGGAGAGGGCAGGGCGCGGGCTCCGGCAGCGGTCCCGCTGTCGCGGGCCCGCCGCGGAGATGATTCGCCGAGCGCGTTCCGCTGCTCGCAGGATGCCTGCTCGCGGACGTCCGAAGGAGCACTTGTCTGCTTTTTGACGTAGTGTATCGTGGATCCCCGGCGGGGGGCCCGGGCCATTTGCGAGCAGCTACTTTGCGAGTAGTGGAACGCGCTCGTCGAATGATCTGGGAACAAATCCCGCGTGCACGGATGAGCCACGCCTCAGAGGCTGTGATCGCTCTGGCGCCGGAGAGCTTCACAGAGTGTCAGACACCGCGGGGCGAATTTGGTGAAGAAGGGTCCTGCGTGTGAGGATGAGCCACACGTCTGATGTTGAGACCTTTGGAAACCAGCGAATTTCATATGTTCTCATAACCTGCGGGGGTGATTTGGTGAAAAAGATCCCGCGAGTAAGGGTGAGCCACACCTCAGAATTTGCGACCTTCTCGAAACCAGCCAATTTCTTATTTTATCATAGAACCTGCGAAGTTGATTTGGTGAGGAATCTCCCGCGTGTGAAGATGTGTCCCGCCTCCGAAGGTGTGATCCCTTCGAGCTCAGAAGCTTCCATCGATTTCAGATCCATGAGGCCTGGAACCGTCAAATGAGATCCGTGATGAAGAACCTGTCCCTGGAAGGGGTCGCGAGGTCCGGGGGCAGCGTACTGAACACCAGGGTGCGAAGCGTCCTCGGACCAGCCCGTGAGCGCAAGCACGGCGCTGCTTGCGATCACGGCTGGAAGAAATGCTGACCGGGATATCGAAGCGTTCGGTTCGTTCTCGTTCTCTCTCTCTCTCTCTCTCCCTCTCTGCTTCATAATCTCTCTTTCCCTCTCCCTCGCTCCCTGCCGCCACCGACGGCCCTGGCCACCGCCGGCGCCGCGGCCTCGGCGTCACAGCCCCGTGGGCCCCGCCGGTCGGGCAGCACCCTCGGACGCGCACCCCCAGACGAGGCATGCCTCGACCCCCGACCAGTCGTCGGGCGCGAAATGGCCACCCTCTGCGGGCCCTTGCCGCCGCCGCCGTGCGTCGATGTCCCGCACGGGCACCACCTGTGGAGTCTCGACGGGAGCGCCCGGCTGCTGGCCTCCGACCCCCACCACTTCTTCTGGCAAGCGGCCGAAGTGCAGAGGCCTCGGTGTGCTCTCGCGCCACCTCGACGACGGCCCCCTTGCCCAGCAGCAGCGCCGCAGCCCCCGTCCGCACTCCGTGGTGGGCCCTGGCCTGCCTCGCCACGTGGTCCTCCCTCGCCACGGGGACCCAGACCGCCCCAGGTGCGCCCCGCATGCGCTCTGGCCGAGCGCTGGGGAGTCCTGCCCGTGGTGCGCCGAGCCTGGCAAGCTGCTCAGACGGTCGTGCTGGCCCCCCTCTCCAGCAAGCCACGCAGGGCCAAGCCCAGCCTTCGGCCGACCGGTCGACGCGGCTTGAGCGACGGCTCGAGCACGTCCAGTCCTTTTAAGAGACCGTGTTCGCCGCACGACGCGGCAGCACCTCACCACGCTGCGCGAACTCCTCGCGACCGTGCAGCGTCAGGCCTCGCTCGCCCCTCGACGGCGAGCGTCTCCGCCTCCGCCGCGGGCGCCTCCCGGGCGGCCCAAGCGGTCCTCGCCAGAAGCGCCAGCTAAACCTCGCATTGGGGCCCGCGCTTCGCCTGACAAGCGTCCGCTGTGGACTCCCACCACCGCGGGTCCTGAAGGGGTGCTGGATGGACGCCGCCACTGCCAGCGAGGCACCGTCATGCCAAAAGCGGGCGCAGGCTTCGCTGTATAGTCGAGTTTGATTCGTAGGTCGACCCTGCCCAAACAAGGGCACCCTTGTGTCCTGTGTTTCGCGACTCGTGCCCGCGACGTTACACTGGCAAAGTGTCCTTTCGCCTGCCTTCTCCAATCCACCCCGACTGCACCTTCCAGGTGAGATTCGGACGTCTGCGAGGCAACGTCACAGTACACCATTTGCTCGCTGCTGCGGGGGGTCCCTCTCGCCCCCTCCCTCCCCTTCCGGCTGTCCGCCCGAGACGGGTGTGAAGGGCCCCTTTAGCCGATTCGCACCGGCCAAGGTGCGGGGTGCGCGGGCCGCTTGCCGCCGGGAGCCCGGATGACTCGTCGTCCAGCTGGTCCACTCTCTCCTTCGTTCGCTCTCTCTCTCTCTCTCTCTTACTCGTTCACTGTTGTGTTTTCCCTCTCTCTACATGCTCTCTCTGCCTCACTCTCCCTTTGTCTCTCCGTCT